ATACATACATATTCTTCTCCAACTTATTTTTTGCCGCATCATGGAGTGTTTAGGGAAAGTAGTAGTACCACCAAGCTACGAGTAGTTTTTGACGCGAGTGCCAAATCTACTAGTGGCAAATCTTTAAACGATATCCAATTAACAGGTCCTATATTACAAAATGATATATTTTCAATCTTATTACGATTTCGGCGACACCGATACATTGCTTGTGCCGATGTCGAGAAAATGTTTAGGCAGGTACTAATACAGCCTGACCAACGTAACTTGCAGTGTATTTTGTGGAGAGAAAACCCTTCAGATCCGCTTGCTATATATCAGCTCAACACGGTGACGTATGGCACTGCGTCCGCGCCGTATCTAAGCATGCGTTGCATTAGACAGCTTGCTGACGAATGTAACGATGACGTCATCTCGCAAGTTATCAAAGAAGATATTTACGTAGACGATCTTATTACGGGTCATGATGATAAGAATATGTTAAAATTTATATGTGACGGTGTTTTTAGAGCTTTAAGTTCAGGATGTTTTACATTGCGTAAGTGGGTATTTAATTATGATACTTCAAATATAAATACAATAAATAGTTCCTCAAAGGAAATGTCATTTGGAGAAAACTGTCAAAACAAAACGTTAGGGTTAGGTTGGTTTAGCGTGAGCGATGACCTACATTTCATAACAAAACTTGAAGATAGTAATGGTACTGGCATAACTAAAAGAAGTATCTTGTCAATAGTTTCACAAAACGATCCATTAGGTTTATTAGCACCGACAGTCATTATTGCAAAAATTATATTACAAAAATTATGGTTGTGTAAAATTGATTGGGACGATCCTATTCCACAAGATATTGAACTAAGCTGGAAACAATTCCTTACTAAATTAAATAATTTACATACTATACGGGTCCCTCGTTATATTATGAGTGACTTAAGCGATAATAACAAACAAGTTGAGCTTCATATATTTTGCGACGCCTCACAGAGCGCGTACGGTGCATGCGCATACATACGCGCTTATATATATAACAGCTCGGTCAATGCGTTATCTATCCGTCTATTGTGTGCGAAAGGCAAAGTAGCTCCGATAAAACCGGTTAGTATTCCGCGCCTCGAGTTGTGTGGTGCCTTGTTGGGTGCAAGATTATACAATAAAATAATTAAGGGAATTAAAATTAATTTTAGCAATGTTTATCTATGGTCTGACTCAACAACAGTGTTAGGGTGGTTGAACATAACCCCGAGTTCTTTAAAACTGTTTGTTCAGAATAGGGTCGTTGAAATTAATGAGCTTACTGAGGGTTGTTCTTGGTTGCATATAAATGGTAAACAAAATCCAGCAGATTTGCTTTCGCGCGGTGTTACTATAGATACACTACAAGCATCCGATCTGTGGTGGCATGGACCAACTTGTTTACGTGAACCCAACTCGAAGTGGGAAAAAGGTCTCACGTCAGTCTGTCGTAACATTGATTTCAACGAACTTCCAGAGCTTAAATCAACCACTGTTGTCATGAAGTGTCAAGTTAACACCGACTTAAGATTATTTGATAGGTTTTCTTCTTTAAATCGTTTAAAACGCACAATGGCGTATGTTTTGCGATTTATTACAAATACGCGAATTAAATTAAAATCAAATCGAGCTCTTGGAACGTTATCAGTTGAGGAACTAAACAATTCAATGGTCGTGTTATCTAGACTGTCACAAAAGGAATCTTTCCCGGAGGAATATAAGTGTTTAAAAAATAATTTACCAATAAAATCCAACCGTAACTTAAACGGTCTGAATTTATTCTTAGATGAATACGGGCTTATAAGAGTAGGCGGTAGAATTAAAAACTCCCTTGATTTCTCTTTTGATAAGAAACATCCAGTGGTATTGTCTAGTAAACATAATTTCACATTATTACTATTTAGATACGAGCACTTCCGTTTATTGCACGCCGGTCCTCAACTATTGCTGTCCACTTTACGAGAAAATTGGTGGCCGATAGGTGGTAGGCAGTTAGCTAGGAAGATAACTCGTAAATGTGTTATCTGTACCCGCATAAAGGGCAAAACAATAAATGCTCAGATGGGCAACTTACCAGTGGAGAGATTAGAATCAAAATTTCCATTCTACCGTTGTGGCGTGGACTACGCCGGACCACTGTTTATACTAAGCCGTAGAGGAAGAGGAGCTAAATTAGAAAAATGTTATATTTGTTTGTTTATATGTTTTTCAACAAAGGCCATTCATCTGGAACTGGTCACTGATCTTACTACAGAAGCCTACTTACTCGCTTTAAAAAGATTCATATCGAGACGTGGTAAGCCTGTAGAGATTTTCTCCGATAATGGGAAAAACTTTGTAGGAGCCCCAAAGGAATTTACTACATTCCTTAATAATAACTCGAATTCTATTATCAATTACACAGCTAATGAAAATATTAAGTTCTCATTCATTCCGCCGTACGCACCTCATTTCGGTGGTTTATGGGAGGCAGGGGTAAAGTCTTGCAAACACCATCTCCGTCGAGTGGTGGGTAATGCACATTTAACCTTCGAAGAGTTCTATACAGTATTAACATTGATTGAATCCATACTGAATTCACGTCCTCTATGCGCCTTGTCATCTGATCCCGCCGACGCACTGCCACTGACGCCAGCACATTTCCTCATCGGACGTCCACTTACAGCGGCAGCCTCTGATGACCTGACAGCTACACCTACACTTAGACTGTCACGTTACGCGAGAGTGGAGCAACTGAGACAGCATTTCTGGCAGAGATGGACCAAAGAATATATTACCGAACTCCAAACGAGAACTAAATGGAAGCATAAGAATCAAGAAATCAAACCTAATACCCTCGTTCTCATCAAAGAAGACAATTTGCCACCGCTTAGATGGCGCCTCGGCAGAGTCACCAGCACCTTCACTGGGAACGACGGCATCTCAAGAGTCGCAGACGTCAAAACAGCGACGGGGGTAATCAGACGAGCTTACACAAAGTTATGCCCCTTACCAACCGACGGTGATGATGACGATGTCTGTGAAGCTTCGTAAAACTTCATTGGAAGCGGGTGCTTCCAAGGCGGGGGCTATGTTCACGCGCCTATATACTGCGTGAGTCACATACATGATGGGCGAACGCGGGGAAGACAAGCACGCGGGCGGCGGGGAGTATGGGTGCACCGCGCGACACCCCACGACCGACCACGGCACTGCATCGAAAGCGCGTCGCTAGCTAGACGTATTACCTAATTTAACTTTATTTAATATTGTAAAGAAATTTAATAAAATTAAATGTATTTAATCCTACAACAAAGAAAAACTAATAATTGAAGAGTCCTTGTCGAAGTTTCTTACCCTATAAATCTTACACAATCAAACATTAACCAACACTAGGTACCTATCCATTAGCATTAAGACCCAGGCTGTGTTACGACTCTTACCTTTAACAAAGTTCAGAATTCAAACAAAACTGATTCATAAATTATTACTGTTGATGGTCTTTTTATGAGATTGGTCGGCAAACGAGCACTCGGATTACCTGATGGTAATTAATCAATAATACAATGTATTAAGTAGCCCAATATGGTTGCGATGAAGACTTCATCGACACACATCTGACTCCACAGAATTTTTATTGTGTAGGCACTTACAATCCCATCGAAATATTCATTGCTGTGCAAAAACCTCATCTCACTCGGAAAAGGCGTGAAAATTAATCATCAAGATTCTATAAGGCGGGTAGGCGGGTAGGCGATATCAAACTTATAATATAAGTATCAGTTTTCCTTTACCGTATCTCGGTGAGGTCCACCTTGATACTTACCAGGAAACATAAAAAGATTGCCAAGGAGACTACTAGCAACTAGGTAGGTATCAAATTAGGATACCTACTTACTTTTTAACAAAAAAATTGCAGTTAAATTGTTAATTCGACTTTCATTTCACATTCCAAAAACACAGTGAACAACCTCACCTCACCAACAATCCATCCAAATTCCCGCCATCTATTCGCTATTTTAAATTTAGAGCTGTTCCTTTTTCTATTTATTTTTTTATTTTTCATGAAAACATTTATTTCAAGATAAAAAAGGTAATTTTAGAAATTTAAATTAAACGAAAATATTATTTAACGTTTACTAAAATAAACCCACCTCAGCAATAACATCATCTTCCTGATCGAGGCTGGCTAGTGTGAGAATCGCCGTCCTGCTCCATTGCGGGAAATGGCGGGCCTCGGGCTGAGGAGCCGGCAATGGAGGCGCCCCCATGTCCGGCGGTGGTCGCGTGCTTAATAACATACTGGCGGACACCACTGCTCACCCACCCACTCACTGAACTAATCACTTTCCCACAAAACAATCAAAGTTCACACCTGTCACGGGCACTGAGGCACATAACCTAAAAAACGTAACACGTCTATTTCATTCAAATAAACAAAAAACATCTTTTAAATTCACTTCATAAATAATGATTCCAAATCAAACACTACAAAACGTTGTATTCCACACGAAATAATAATCAATTTATAATATGTGTATAAGCGAAATCCTTATATCGTAAAACTTCGGTTTCTTTGTTAGTAAAACAAACAAACCGTTGCCTAGCAACGGACATACATCATGGCGCGCAAAGTAATCACGCAAACAAAATAACAAGGTTTTAGGAAATGTTTTAATTAACTGAGTAATTAAAATAACTTTGTTGAAGTCACTGAAGTAATTGATTAAGTTTCACGTTATTCTTGAGGGCTATTTGTTTGGGAAATAATTTTCTAAGTGCTTCGTAAAATATAATTGACTGTTATATGACTAATGCATTGACCAGTGAAGTGAGTTTTTAGTGCGCGTGACATTTCTCAGTTCATTTGATTTGTCAAATTCAAATGTTTAGACGTTAATAATGGCGACTAGTGTTAGTGTATAAATATTTTGGATATTTCTGTCAATTATATCGTATTTTGGTGCTTATACTCTTGTTTATTGTGATTTTTTACATTAGGGATTGAAATGGAGACGTGTGTTAGAGGATTTTCTTTTATGGCCGAAAACAAAATTGACTTGGCGGATTTACAGGTTTGTACAGGTTTTTCTAGTTTAAGTAAACCGTATCATACCACACGATGACAGTATAATTATTTTTTCTCACACAGTCAGCTGTCTTAGCGTTCTAATGCATTGCTTAATAGTTTGGTGTAACTTACGCCATCTGTGATCGAACGGTTGCAACTCGATAAACTGAACAAGACCTAACGAATTATGTAGGTTAACAAAAAATTAATTTATATTTCTGGTGATTCTTCAATAACGAACACATATTCTTAATATAAAATAGTGCAGCAGGTACTCAACATTTCATTTCTTAATCTATAATAATGCATTATAATATTTTTGATTTCTCTATTACTATCTTGAGTTAACTGCCATCTATTGACCATAGTGCAAACTTGTAGTTCATAGAAGGCGGTGAGTTGGAGAGGGCGTGGCGAAACAATCGGAGGGAGCGAATGAAACAGCGCGAGCAGAAAATATGGGACAAATTTGTAGAGGAACAAGACGTCGTGAAAGGAGTTTGTAGTGGTACGATACTAAATATTGTTAAAGTAAAAATTTGGGTCAGCTATGCTTAGCCGCGAATCACAGAAAACCGTTATGAAATACTTAACCTCAGCGTTGTTATTCGCTGCGTGAGTAAGGTTGCCGAAGACTTGGCGTTGATCGGCAAGAATTGGGTCTCCCCCCACCCTTACCCAATTCTTGAATTCCCAAAACCCCTTATCCCAATAACGCACTTGCAACTTGTCTAGCGTCGCCGTGTCCACGCGGCGTCTTTTGCTTACCATCAGGCAATCCATCTGCTCATGTGCAGCAAAAAGAAGCTTTTAACGGCATTAAACTGTACAGAAAACACAAGTTTTGTGCCATTTCTATATTAAAATGTATAGTTTTGTAATAAACTAAAAAAATAGCTGAAAAAAACTAACTTAATATGCTGGGGTTAAAACCCGACTTATCGGTTTCATACCTACATTTACTATGGCGAAAGAGACACGCGTGGTGTGTTGTGTCGTGAGCTGTAAAATGTATGAAACTGGCGCGGGCGGGAGGGAGTTTCAGACTCTTACTGACTAAACCCCCCCCCCCCATTCCTTTTCCTGCTCTGGGCCGAAGGCACGGTGCCTCATTGTGCTTACCCTGCAACCCTGGCTGAAACTGGCGCCTACGGGCACGATATGTGGCATATATTTTTGCCTTTACCCACGTGATAGTACCCACAATATTGAAAACCTACCAATTCTTTGTTTAAAAACAGATGACCCGTACCAGTTCTTGGATCAGCTGCCAGAAACCTGTATGAAAGAGATAATGGATAGCGAACGACCGAAGTTGTCTAGAGAAAATTCTGCCGAGGAGATAAAAACTAAGGTCGGTTGCGTACAAATCTATTCATAAGATAGCAACAACTCTATGTATCTTCATCAAAAAATAATCGTAAAATTTGATTATCATATTAGTCACACAAAAGTCCGCTAAGGAATACACCTAAAGCGTCCCCCGATATTAATTGGAATACTGTAATTAAAAACATAAAAAAATTGGTATGAAACTAAGGCTTTTGATTAGAAGTTGCACTTTGATCTACGAGTGCCTAAGTTATTTTGTGAATTTCGCTATAGTTCAATAAATCTTTCAATAAATCCTCTAAACCAAATCGTTGTTCCAACAGCCTTTTATAAATCTACTACTGCTTCTTACATAAGATTAGTTTGCAATAATCTGCACAATTGGCCGGTACTTCGGAGATCGTAATCTAAAAACAATTACACATTCTAAGACCGTAATTTAAAAGTTCTTGTTTATAAGAGAGTGCTGCCCGGTCATTTTTAAATGCGCTGACCCATAGTCGGCTCTTACGCTACGCCAGGGAAGTACTATGCCACTATATGTCTTCTACCTCAAACCTTGGGTCTAGGAGCTACCTCAGCACAGTACTGACAACAAGCCTTCCGGAGACGACGGCCAGGCAACGTGTGTCGTCACCTTCGCTGACGATAACGACAAGGATGACTGCGATATGTTCCACATTTTCGATGATGACCAGTCAGGTAAAATACCTTCACCAAAATCTAGTTCTTCTATAGTGTATCTTTGACGAAAATCTGACTGTATTGTTGAAGTGCAAATCCCAATCGAGTCGCATGTGGGTGGACCTCCAAACGGCCTCACTTGCGAGAAAAGTTGCTATTGGAAAGACTTGGTCCTGACTTGGCCCCTGCTCTTTGCCAAACTCAAATTAAGACATACTTACTCTGTGTTGCTCCATATTCAACCAGATTTATTGAAAAGGAAATAAATTATAAAACTACTGTTTTAACAATGCTTCTTGTGTGTGTTTTCCACTTGTTCTGTCCATGATTCGCTTCTTTTTGTTCGACATCATTCCAAAAATGTTGGCACCATCAGGCCCTGAAGAAGAAGTCCTCAATGAAACTCTTAGCCCGGAGACGGTGAGGGAGAAAGAAACGGAGATTATCACTCATCCGCCACCAGGGAGCCCTACCAGCCTTGAAAAAACAGCAAGTTAGTTATTATTAATTAGCTACATACCCTACAAAAATGTGTATCAGTAGAAATATCCCCGTTCACTTATCTCTTAGGCTTGAAGCATTTTAAAGTGCTTCATCATTAGCCTGATTCTGTCCACTGCTGGATATAGGCCTTCACAATTGCACGCCACTGAGCTCGATGTTCACCTCCTCTCATCCAACCACTGCCAGCCACCCTGCACATATCGTCGCACGCTTATGCCCTTATAAAATCTCTCCTAAATATTTATTTCCTTAGTCGAATTTTCCAACACCTATGTATATTTACAATAGACCTGGACTACACGGCAAGAAGAGTCCATTGTCAGGAATTTGTTTTGCGTACAGGTAAATCGTCTGAGAATGTAACGCATGTGATCGAGAGCAGTATCTACTGCGCCAAGGTCAAGGACTTAAGGATGAAGATCAACGAAGAACTAACGTCTTTAATGTAAGTTGCGTTTTAATTTACAGAAACTAGCAGCTACTTATGTCCCAAAAATACTGACAGTAAAAATATATGGAAATTTTTAGGTTATGTTTCTATCTATTCTTTATTTGAAGCAGTGGTATACTTTAAAGCAAGAATTATATTCGCGAACAGGACTACGCTAGACCGTCGCGATATACTGACATCCGAGCCAGAAGATATTCTGCGCATGGTGAAAAGGTCAGCTGAATTTTGTGGCAGATTCAACAGAATCTACATGTATCAGTTGCAGAGACAGGTAAATCTAGGAGTCATTCTCATCATCGTAGTTTTTTTATGGAATCGGGTGGCAGACGAGCTCTCCAATCACCTGATGGTAAGCAATTAGCGGCACCTATACCAGGGAAATAAGTGCCGACTTTTTTGGGATTTGAGAAAGGGATTTCGCCTCTGGTGACATCCCAAAACTATAGCTGTGGTTATCCGAATCCGTCCTTCTTGTGTGCTTTTGCAACTACATACATAACTTCCAACTTGTTTTCAAATTCAGAAAAATAAACATTAAGCAACGTGTTCTTTTAAAATAAAAAGTTTCTTTGGGTATAACACTAATTTTCTTTCTTGTTCTTCTCCATTCGAATTTAAACTTTGGGACGAGCACCTAACTTCTCTGACGAATAGACTGATAGACTAATATTGTATTTTGACGTTTCCAAAGTGCCTATTTATGGTTAAGTGGGAATAAATGATTTTGACTTCGACTTTGATTGGTAACAGATACACGATATCAAACGTAACAACAGCGTGTCGTTGCCGTTTGCGAAACACACCCAGTTCCAGTCGCAGATGGTGAGGATCGTGTCTCTGCATCAGAACTTGCTCCAGTCTTTCCAGGTTTGTCTTTGCATGACGTATACATAATAGTATGTTGTACTCTGCCCGAAACTCATACAGGTTCATATCTTCATATGAAAAAAACTTTATGTCAGCAGACAGAGATTTGTTCCGTTTGTTTTTTTAACAAAAGAATGCAAATATACTCATGTACCTATTCTTTTTACTCTATAAAAAAGTTGGATTTTCTTCTGTGTCGTGGGTGCTTTTACAAACATAAAAATTCACAAAGCGCCCAGATTCGACACAACAATTTGCGGATCACACAAAGTTCGGTGGCCCAGTTGCCCAACCACTACGCCAACCGTGAGGTCAAGATGAAAGACATGAAGAATTTCTTAGTCAAATGGACGGACGAAACTGTGAACATTATCATAAGAATTTACTTACATAAACTTACATTTGTCCTATAGAGATAGGCAAAACGATCTTGAGACTTTTTCATTTGTATTTGTTAAAATGCAACCTTCGAAACTTTATGCTTGTACGTCAGGTGTTCCACAAGTCAGTGTCGCAAACTTGTTGTGTCCGCGAGAGCGCGAGTGCGCTGGGCTCGCTCATTGCGTGCGTCCGCGACTCCACGCACATGTGTCTCAACGTGTCTACGCCCAAGGACTTTACTGCCGCTCTCGACTTGTACAAAGACGTACGTATAAAAAGCCCCATTTTTCCTAATGTGATAGTGAAAGAGAGGGAGAGAGAGTAGAAATAGAGAGAAAGAGATAGTGAGAGGGGGGCAGAGATAGGTAGAGAAGAAGACAAAGAGACAGAAGGGGGGATAAGAGAGAGAGAGAGATATGTCAAAAAAAGTCGAAAGGGTCGGGTAGTTCGAATATTCTAATATTCTTTTTGTATCAGGATCTGATATTGACTTGCGATAAAGTCGATGAGTTTGTGGGCGAGTACGCGATCAGGTGTGAAGAGATTCTTAACAGCTTCGTAAATATGGTAAGATTTTATTAAGAATATTTTTTACATTACTGTTGTTAATTAAATGGTTGCAGTTCTAGGGTGCAACTTCAGTGAAAATTTCTGCTGATATCACATTATAAAGCACAATATAATTCAGTATAAACATGCAACACTTATACAGGTCGAACCGAAAACCACCCAATTTTTTTTCCGTTAGAAGATGGTATTTACAGACATTTCATTCAACTCACAGAGTGCAAACACAAGGAAGGCACCAAAGAAGCAAATGAAAAAGAGAAGCCTCGGCACTTTGAACAGAAGTTCTATGAAGAATGGTAAGTGGCACGATTCTTAATTGTGGAAGAATGTTTGTATGAAAAATTACTATGTTAAATCAAATCAAATTTATTTGTAAAACATAGGTATTCATTACATCATGGTGGTGGGTAAACAATATTTGGTCGCTATGTTTTGCCGTGTAGGCGTACAAATTTTTCACATATAATTAAATAAAACAATACAACCAAAAAAGAAAAAATATTTAAAAACAAAATTAAATAAGTAAAAACAAAAAACTATGTTTAACAAAAAAATAAAAATTAATTTTAAAAATATTAAAAAACACAAATAGGTAGTACAGCAGTCTTACTAAATCTCAATATTGCACACAAAATAGCTACTAAAAAATATCATTAATAAATTCTTCAACTGTATAATAACACTTATCAATTAACAGTGAGTACAGGGATTTCTTAAATTTTAATAGAGGCATGTTTTTTATTTCGTTAGGTATTTTATTGTAAATTTCAGGTGCCATACCAAAAAAACTCTTTCATTAATGCGGTTCTGCATTTTATGCCGTACAACTGATTGATGTATTGAGATCGCATTGGAGTCTTTTTGATCTCTGAAAATTGTTTAAATAGGTGTAAATTGTTTTTAACTAACAAGGCAGTCTCATATATGTACATACCTGGCATTGTAAGTAATTTTAAAGATTTGAAAAGGGGTTTACATGATTCTGTAGTTTTTAAGCCACACATCGACCGAATACATCGTTTTTGCGCTTTAAAAACGGTCTCTCTTTCAGTTGATTGCCCCCAAAAAATAACACCAAATCTTAGAATTGATGCAACTAAACCGTGATATGCTATTAAAAGTGTGTGTATGTTTACCTGTTTTGACAGCTAAAATAATGCATATGCGGATTTATTTAATTTCAGACAAATTTCTTCGATATGGTGGAAACCCCAGTTTGGTCGTTAGTTTGCTATCGATTGTTACACCTAAAAATTTTGCTTTGTTAGTATCCTCTAGTTTGCAATTTTCATATGTGACTTGAACTGTAGGTTTTTCACATCTTTGATGAAAATGCATTACTTTTGTTTTTTTTAAATTAATCACTAGGTTGTTGCTATTAAGCCAGTTTATCATTTTATTGAGACAGTCATTAATATCATTCTCATAATGGACAGGACTAGTACACTTTACAACAGTTGTACTGTCATCGGCAAATAGAACCATATTAAGAGATATCACATTTGGAAGATCATTTATATATATTAGAAAAAGTAGCGGCCCTAGCACGCTACCTTGAGGAACCCCGTATTTTATAGCTCTTGGTTGAGATTTGTAAATGGTTACTAAATTGGTTTTTAAACATACCTGTGATATTTCTGTGCACTGAATTCTGTTATCAAGGTATGTCTCCAAAAGTTTCAAAACATTTCCTCGAATTCCATAGCCATACAGTTTATTTAATAAAATTTTATGATCGACGTAGTCGAAAGCTTTAGTCATATCGGTATATATAGCACATACCGGAGCTCTTTCATCGACAGATGTCATAATTGAAGAAAGGAGGTCGAACAATGCCATATTGATATTATTTTTTTTTAAATCCTTTTTGTTCTTTGCAAAACAATTTGTTTCTTTCAAAATAAAAATTAAGTCAGTATTTTTGTATAGTAACTATCGTGTGACATATTTAATTTATTGAAAATAACAACTTAGTCTTGGAAATTAAACGAGGAAAGCTTGACTAGTTTCAAATCACAACGGGAGTCTTATTCATGAGCAGTATTTCGTTAAACATACCTTTGAATCCCATTTTTTAGCGTCTTACTCACGTAACTGTTTAAATAAGTACTCGATTAGTTCCAAGTCACGTTTGGGGCTCATATCAAACAGTTACACATAATTATTATTTTAGTATCAGAATTTCAGAAGAAGAAAACTTCTAGTACCCCTTCAAAAACGAGGTTGACGATATCTGCCATAACTACGCATAACAGTAGTGTTACAGTGCAATGTTTTCCATGGTTTTTGTTTATATCATTGCGATTGTTTTTAATTCATTCATTCATTCAAGTTTGGGTTCATTAAATTGGAATGTTCCTTCGCCATGCTGACTCCAAAGTACGTTTTCATTTTCCTTCCAGATGCTGAAGCTCGTCTATCAATGTACTCCTTGGATACCCTCCGACTGAACTTGCATCCTAAGTCTTCGAGCTCACGGGATAATCAATCCAGGTAACATTACCATTTCGGTTTTTTTAACTAATTATCAAATATAACTGAACCGTAATCCATATATTTTTAAATGATTGGGACAAATCTGATTAGATATTCAATGTTGTAAAGTATTTTTTATGTGTTACGGCAACGAGCTTACGGATTATCTGATGGTAAGTAATCGCCGCCGCTCATGGACACCCGATACACCGGAGGAGTTACCAGTGCGTTGCAACACTTTTGGGGATTAGGGTTTGGGAGATTAAGGGATTGGGGGAGGGGAAGAAGGATTGGGCTTCCGGTAACCTCAATCACACGGCGAAACATAAAGCTATGTGTTGTAGTGGTTGTTTCTGTGAGGTCGTGGCATCACTCTGGTTATAAAGATCCATTCGATACAAATTTAGAAATGGTCTATAAAACTTAACCAGTGATAACTATTTATTTTCTCCACATACAGCTCAGTAAAAAACCGTAGCGCTAAAGAAGCTCCCTCTAGCAGTAAATGCGGTCTGACTTATGACGAGAAACCCGTAGAGACAGCCAAGTGCCCTAAAAGGTAATCATTACTTACATCTTTTAAACTTTTGTTTTTTTGCTATTTTCAAGAGTTGAAATTGTAACCGTATTTCATTACTTATCTGTTTGGCCACTATATCGCCTGGATGATGTTGACTTCGATGGAGCGCTCATGGTCTATCTATAAGCAACCTATTGATTACCTATGAAACAGTCAAGTCAGTCAGTCAGTGCAGATTCCCTAGCTGTTCTAACAAAACACTTGAGGTGTAACGCTCTATGACTATGGGTGGGATGTCCATTCTAGCTTTAAATTATGTAAATGGTCTAAAGTCTGCAGAGTTGGCTGTAAAGCTTCGTTGGGCAATTTTTATAATTATACTTTTGATGCTATAGTTGAAATTATTGTAAGGTAAATCTATACCTCTAGGTTTTTCATTCTATAGTTTTCTTCTTTTTTGGTTAATCTCAGTCCAGTTTCCAATTTGAATCTATAAAATTATTTAGATCCCGTCGTCCACTCATGCGGGACCCTCACGCTGGACGGCCAAAAGCACCAAAGCCCATTCGCGAAAACGATATACGGACCATGGTCGAAGCTGTTGGAACAGTAAGTATATTTTGAATAAGTACAACAATCAATAATGTATGTAAGTAGTTGTTGAAAGAAATTAAACTTTATGGAGATTTTTTTATGGAATAGGTTAGTAAAACAGCAGACGGATTACCTGATGGTAAGTAATCGGCGCCGCTCATGGACAGTTGCAACACCAATGGAGATACGAGTGCGTTGCTAGTCTCTTAGGCATAAGGCTTTCGGATATTTAAGGTTTGGCAAAAGATGGAGGAGGGATTGGGCCTCCGGTAATCTCACTCACATGGCGAAACACAACGCTGTGGTTATTTCACGCTGATTTTCTGTGAGGCTATGGTGGAGCTGATCCATTCGGGCCGAAGCTTGGTTCTACCACAATTATGGTGCTTTCAGTGCGCGTCGAGTCACATAAGTCGCGAGGCGAGTCCCCGCTCGGCGGGGACAGCGCGGCGCAGGGCGGGCGGCGCGCGGCGGGGCGGGCTGTCGGCGCGCGCGCTGGCGGCGCCGTGTGTCCGGCCGCTGTCCCCGGCGGCGGCCGCCTCGCTGTTTGCGCCACCGACGGTCACGCCTCGTACGCCGCGTACGCCGCTAGCGTCGCAACAACGTCATTCCCCGCGCCCGTTTCATACGCCGCGCAATTCGCATGATCCGCATAGGTAAGATACTACTGATTTGAAAAACTAGGACAATGTAAACAAATTGAGGAGATCATATCATCAGATTACTTGCGGGAAACGCACTGATTAAATAATTAAAAACCACCCTGTTCCTTTTCCTAATAATAAACCACTCGATCGATCACTTCACCCGCCCCGACTGAATCACTTTTACCTTAAACTTTATATTTAGACACTATAAAATTACTACAATTCATTTACAATTTTAATGTTAAAAATCCAGTTTCCGGGCAAAAACCAAGGCCCAATCACCGAAGATCAAAAAACGTACTGAAGAGGAAAAATCGAAGCGCCCTCTTAACTTAATCACCTCAGTGAAGGAAACTACTAGTGGTATAAAAAACAACCTGGAACCTCAGGATATGATGCCAGTCTGCAAGATACAGTGCGCCATGAAGAAAGACCTGAAGCTTGAAGAAGCTAAGCAAAGTGCCAGAGAGTCATCCAAGAAATCACCCAAAAAGCAGCGAGTGGATCAGAATGAGACGAAAAAGGTATTCCGAACTCTGTCCTGGGTTTTTAGCTATTAAACAAGTATGTGATAAAAGTCTGAAGTCAATCATTTATTCCAATTAGACCCTTACAGACTTTTGAACGTCTGACAAATAGGTTAAATACATATAGGTTAATAATTTAGAAGAAGTTCTATTTATGCAATAATAATAATAGTAATATTTGGGGATATTTTTTTATTATCTTACTCAATCATTAGCCTGTTACTTGATTTTAAAATAAGTATGGCTTCACAGGGCATACCGGACTCTCCTAGACTCCTCGTTCCCGGGCTCAAGCTACATGGTCCTCCCGCAAAAAGAGAAGAAGAAGATTCTGCTAAATATGGAGATTCCAGCAAACCTGATAAAGCAGCGTCCCCTGCAGCACAGAGGGAACCATTGAGTGATAGGAAAGAGAGGAGTAAGGTATTTATTTATTTATTTATTTAATAAAGGTACACCAACAGCTTCTGTATATAGCAAATTAAATAAAACAATGAAATATTAGGTTTTGGCCTTATACAGTCGCCAATTACAGGTAACCAGCATTCTTAAAAATAAAGTGATAACCTAGTAGAGTAAGAACGAAACTATCTATTACAATAACATAATTAGAATTATATAAAAAATATTATAACAATATTAGAATTGTAATAAGGTAGGCAATTTTTTAATACTATATAAATTAGAAAACATTAAAAAAGTCAGGGCATAGGTACTATAAGTGTCATAAGTGCATGGATGATTCTAAATCAAAATCGTTTGTACGGCGTTTCATCGCCTTAATTATATACTATGGACGACATAGATGGCGCTAGTATACTAGTGGTATTGAAAAATATACATTTATAGTTTTTATCAGATACAAAGTTATTAACTTAATAAATTTTTATACAAATTAATGCTACGATATTCCAAACCTTTTTAAAGCAAAGCACGCAATAACCAGGTTTCGAACTCGGTAGCATAAAATTAACCGATGCCACTAGCCATTAGGCCATTACGTATCCTTGAAATATATTGAAATTATCCTACTCTTTATTATATTGAAGTTGTTTAGTAACTATAACCCGATCATAAATCTCAAAACAGTTGAGGGTAATTTAAAATTAACTGTATAAAAATTAAACCTTTTTGTTCAATCATAACATTCTTTACTATCTTTGAGTGAGTTCAGTCACGATTTGTTTAACAAGTTTTTAATATTTATTTTTATTATGAATTTGCGTTCAAATGTTGATATGGCTATGAGGGCCCAAATAATAGCATTGCATAATCAAAGCTTAAATTATACTGGAATTTCTAGAGAAACTGGCTTAAACGTAAGTATTCTTATAAATGACCGTTTGTTATTTATTTTACTATCCATGGTTATCGATACATGAAAATAATAAATAATACACGTCCCTTACAGGTAAAGACTGCCACTTTATGGATATCTAAAGCTGTTTCAAGAAGAGGGTTCATTGGAGCACCGTAGTGGATCTGGCAGAAGACGTGATATTGACTCAGACCAGTTTCAACTTATGGGGCAAGGTTATGAGGAAAATTACTGGAGCATTGTCATCTTCAGTGATGCAAACAGTGAAAACTACATAGATGTGCTGAAGACGTCATGAAGATGTGGTAGTGATAACGTTCGTGCAGGACAATTGTCCTATGTGTAATGTTCCATAATTGTGCAAGTGTTTAGTCAGCAATCAGACATACGGATTATTCCTTGGCCAGCGAGATAGGAGAAATAGGATCGATAAAAATGGCGGCTACACTAGTTCTTAAAAGAAAAGACATTGTTGACTATAGGATTAAGCAATTACAAGACCGGGGTAGCAATAATTTATGTAATGGATAAATGTTCAAACTTAGTGTTAGTAGGATAAATTTATTGACTACTTTATAACCAGCGACTGTTATACAGTAATGATTTTAATGTTTTACTAAATATGAGAATAATAAATTGTTTATTTATTAATTACTATGAACAATTCGTCCCATATCTAGTGAATGCTATATCCCGGTCTTAGAAATGTTATTGATTTAAGGTCTGGCTTCAATTTCTTCCTTGTTCTGGAACGAATACTTAAGCTATGAGCCTTTGTCATAACATGATGCACAAAATGAATCACTTTAGTCAATACTTTAATTAAATTTTATGGGGAGGTAAAATAGTTGCAGAAGTAAGGTTGCATATTATATAGAATCGTATTATAACATTGTGTTTAAAACTAACTAATAAATGACTAGCACAACAAAATTTTGATTTAAAATACTTATTAATCTTATAAAAAGTGTAATAAATTATGTGTCAGTTAGCTGAAAAGTTATTAGGTAAGGGTATACACTATATAAGAAAGAAATAAATGTCTGAAATTATAATGTCACTAAAATAGTTTTATTTGTTATCCTTTATGAGAATTAAACTTAGTATTAGTCTTAATCTGTAAGAAAAATATGTTACTTTTACATTCATAGGTAGCACGTATTATAAAAGTTATTTATATATATTTATTAATATAATTTTATTCTAAAATAATATATTTATTTATTTTTGTTATCTTTTATAAATATTAAACGTCAAATATTTTATTTTTATATTATTATTATTGATTTTATATAAAAAATATAAAAAAACCATTGTTAAAAAACCTGAATTTAAAAATGATAACCCGGAATTTAACCGGTGCCCTTCGACTTCATTATACTATCATTCTTATTTATCCGAGCTACCGATCGCATTTTTAATGATATCGAAAATGCGGGTTAGTTTATAACTTTTATTATTGTCTATTATTAATTATTGACGCCATCTTTTAATTGGTTTGCTTGACTTGACTTAGATGGCGCTATATTAAGTCCTCGGAAATGTGAAAATTAACATAATTAGTAATTATATTCAAATACTCATATATTTGAATATAAATATATTATTGTTTCTTAATTATTATTTTAACCATTAAAAACCTTATTGTGTGCCTCTGCAGTGTAAAGTATTCAAGCTTTGCAGGGTTATTTTCATTTAAAAGCAGCGCCATCTAGTTATCAATGGTAGCGTTATGCAAAACCTGTCAATCAATAGTCGACCTTAAGCTCTCCATGCATTTTTGTCACCCTTAGTACTTAATGTTTGAGGTATGAATAAAATCCAAATATTGTGAAAAACAAAATAATTTATTGGAAAAAAATAACCATTTGGGAAAGCGTATAAAATATTATAATCTAGCTCATTTTTACATTTTAAAGTTGTGTAAATATTATAATGAAATACATTGAATAAATACAATCGAAAGCCCAAAAGCATCACAGTGACTTTTTATAATTTAATTACGATTATTTACAACAATTTTTCAAAGTTTAAATTAACGTTTAAACTTATATTTAAAGTAGCGTAGTATGTGCAGTCATAGCGAAAATAACTTGTATCTTAACTAGTGACCATTGTTTAAGTGTATGCCACTAGATGGCACTGTTTTCCAGTGGATAGCACTGTTTGCCACTACATGGCACTGTTTACAACAATATGGCCGCGATGACGTTACATCGGAAAATGCTATAACAACACTTTACGCCGTAAAAGTTGTTCAGCATGACTTCAACATAAATTCCTTAAAATTTACAACTTTAAGAAACAAAATGTATTATTACTTAAAAATACTGTCATATATCTGCTGTATCCTTTTGTAATCTTTGTAGGTATCATCGTAAAACTAATATCTTATTATTTATTTTAGCATTCTTATGTTTGCGTTCTCAAAGATCGTAAGTTTATTGAAACATTGCTCGTAAAATGGATTATGGTCTCAGTTAATCATGCCAAGATATTCAGAGAAATAATACGTAACATGAAATTTTAGTGACAGTCTTTTAAACCAATTTGAATATAAAATCTATTTAATTATTAATCGAATAATCTTTCAATCTTTGAGAAGCAAACGTTTCGATAAGCTAGGGTAGTCGGTACCATACGCCTGGCTACTCGATGGGTGTGTGATAAATATAATTGTGTGTGCGTTTAATGTCAGTGTGTGCGTTTAGGCGCATTTGCCGCAAAGTGGTTTGTTGTCCATGACGGAGAAAGTGGCGTCTGTCACTGGGTTTCTGCATTTCTGAAACAGAAATATTGAATAATGTTTAATAGTGGATTTTGTGAGATTTTCTAATCTCAATTTTCACCATAAGTAATCCTATGTCACATTTTCATCGTCAATCATTTTCATCGTTTATTTAAATCATTAACGTTTTTTTCTGGGTTATTAATGGTTAAGGGGTTTGAATCGGTGTTAAACAACAGGGTTCCCCGAACTTCATCATCAATTTGATGTTGCCTGATTTTGTCCACTGATGGATATAGTCTTCCCCGATTGCACGCAACTGAGCTTGATGTTCAGCTTTTTTCATTCAACCATGCCAGCCACCCTGTAGATAACGTCAGTACACTTAGCTGGAGGGCGCCCTAAACTGCGTTTGCCTAGACGACCTAGCTTCCACCCGCGACTTTTGCCCGCGTGGTATGTTGATAAAAATAGCCTATTCCGGAGTATATACTATGCCTGTGCCAAATTTCATCCAGATCCGTCCAGCCGTTTTGGCGTGATTGGGTAACAAACATCCAAACATCGTAATTTTCGCACTTATACTATTAGTAAAATAAATGTTTACCATGCAAGTGAAGCAGTCGCGGTGCCATTTAGCGTCCAGCGCTATGATGGCCTTGTCGGTGATGGGTCTGGCGCACCCGTTGCAGCGAGCTGCGAACTTGTCAGCATAGCATGCTGAGCAGTATGGTCTGCCGGCCTGGAAGGTAGAAACAATCTCATTATTATAAGTTTCTAAACAAGACTAGATTTCATATGAAGTCTTTATAGGATATCTTTCTTTCTTTCTTTTTTAAAAAAAACGTTGCCCCACATTAGGATTTTCTCCTGTGTCGTGGGTGCTGTTACAAACATACAATTTCACATACACAAGACACCCAGACCCGGAGCAACAATTTGTGGATCACACAAAGAGTTGTTCCGTGCGGGAATCGAACCCGCGACACGTTGCACGGCAGCCAGTTGCCCAGCCACCGCACCAACCGTGCAGTCATCTCAATATCAGTCATATCGATTCGTGGTTTTCAAATTCTATTGTTTTATTTCTTTTTTTTGTATTAACTAGGTATCGTGAGACGTAAATTATTAAGTAATTTCCTCAGATAACCTGCTTTGTCTCATTTCGTCTACTCTTGATGAGTTTCCCATGTGGCGACGCACATAGATTGACAACAATGTATCACAGATGGCGTAACGAGTCCTGCGTCGCGTAGATAAAGTTGGCACGCTTATAAACAACGATAGAAAATCCCAACGTCTGGTCAGAGGATCTTTATTTTCTGATTTTAGGGAACTATAACTCTTTGTTCTCTAACCCCAATAGTTTTATGTCTTAGGTATTATTCAAATCAGTAGTCATGAACCGTGCAGTCACGGTTGATGCGGTCGGTGTTTGTATGATCCAAAAATTGTTTTTACGGGTCTGGATGTGATGTATGTTTATAAACGCACTCACGACACAGAACAAGATCTCAGTGTGGACAAGGTTTGAAAAGAAAACTTCATCAAGTTACCTGTTCCATGAAACCGCCACCGCCGAGCTCCTTCTTGCATCCTCCGCAGACGAAGTGGTGAGCGTGCCACGATACTCCCAGAGCTTGGATCACGCGCTGAAATAGCAAAAAATATTGTGTTTAATTACCTCTGTAACTAACTATAGAATATAGGGAACAATATTATGATGATAGGCAAGGGTGAAGAGGGTAATTTCAATGTGAAGAAAGTCTGTCGACTAGTCTCTTAGTGAAGATACTTGCTCATTCTAAAGTGTAGATTCCTATGGAGAAAAAGAGCGAAAAACTCCATGGTTAACTCTTTCTAATCACATTCACATTCAGATTCTTTGTTACATTACTAGGTACAAGACGTACTATGGATACATTATACATATAATATAAATCAACATACTCAAATCAGCACAGACGTGTACAAAAAATATGTTCAACCGATGTCACTATAAATAAGTATAAGAGATGTTACAATTAATTACGCAGCCTGAGATAAAAACAAAGTCAGTGTGGTAGTAAGTAGTTCTATGGTGTGTGGATTCCCATGGTGATGTCACTGTCATGGCGGCCATTAGGCGATGTGCCATTGTTTTGCCATGCCGACCGGTTTGTGAAATCAAGAGGTTAGGATATAGTTGGTCCAGTGGAATGGTTATTTTCACTGTATTTCTTGAAGATGCAGTTTGATTTTGCCTAAAAACTTGATAAAAATTATCTTTATGAAATAATATAAGTAGACATAACACCTTTTGTTTCCGTTTAAACGGTGTATACTTTTATAATACACGCGTCTTATCGTCAATCATATCATTAGCTACTGTTATTGTCATCGATAGCAACCTCATTGACAGTTAATTGCTAGAAATGTAGAAATACCAACAATTTCACAGGTCTGGAACATCTAATTCGATAAGTCCTATTTATGGACTGCTGGCAGGCCCATCCCTGCTTGTCAAGTGTGGTCTACTATCACGCTAACTACAAACGATAAAAAGTCACCAAGTCCCGTTTTTCTGATCTTATGTCCTACTCTACTTTTGATAAGAACTTTCTTCTGATAGTCAGAAACATAGCAAAAGAGAAACGGCAAATTGATTGGTCCAGGCGTTGCTGAATTATGCGCTTACCAACACAATTTGCGATTCATTTTCTATACTATGGGTTATCTAGGTTGTCTGGTTTACTGGGTTATCTTTGGAACCGGGGGTCGTAATTCCAAAATTCTTTCACTGATAGATAGCTACAATGTTCCTGAGTTTTATATTCTATTTGTGTACGGGAACTAGTTCCCTTGGCATGCGGGCAAAGCTGCCCGACACAGCTAACTAGCTTTGTCGGGCAGCTTAGAGTATATTGTATATTGATTAATTTTCTTTATATATAGAAAATTATCTCTATAAAAAATACACCTCTATAAATCATCCTATCAATTTAAAATCATCTTTAATCATAATTAATAAACACTTCTCAACACAGCAAAAATGATGACCCACGTAACATTTAAAAGCTATCAGTTTTTACCGACTTGTTCAGATGGCGGGTTGTGTTTTTATACAAGTAATTACGTGGCACAGTGACCCGCGGAAGTGACTGGTCGATTGTTATACTGATCGTGATGCGTCGATAATTTGTATCAGATTGTTTGTTTCAATTGAAACCTCTCATTATCTTTTAATACTAAATTGTTTTTACGGGGAATTACTGCAGTAAGTGCTAAGTGAGTAAGTATTGTTATCAACGGTTTATTTCGATTTTATAATATAGGTCTTGTTGTTCTTTATAGAGTTTTATGATAATTGATATGTATTTAGCAATTAGAAGAGCAATATGAGGTAGATTTGACCCACTATATCTCAACCAACTCTGGGCTAAGTATAAACTTAAAAGAAAACTTCACGTGATTCTGATCCAATCCGTTTTCAATGTTTTCGCCATTGACGATTACATTTTTATCATAGCTTTTTTAATTTGCATCACCAAAAATGTTTCCAGTTTTGAGTTTCCTACTCATATTTCTACACGTTATTGCCCATACTCCATAGAAGTCCACAGTGGGTGGCAGACATAAGATGACAAATATACTTTTAATACTTTCGTTCCTCAGAGCGCTCCATGTAAGGTTTCGCGGAACACCCTGACCACGGTGAATCATACAACCTTTATCATCGCGTCACAGCGTTATATACATAAACGGTATATACTTTTTAAAAAACCACGCATATAATGAGAGTTTCTCATATCATTATTAACTGACTTCATTTTTGGCCGTAAATTCTAAAGCCGAGCTAAGTTAGTTTTAAAGTTATTTTCACTGGTAACACTAAGATAGTCTAATTTAGTTTTTTAAAGAATATCTTTTTTTTAAATGACCTGTAGGCAACATGATTAAAATGCATTAGTGTTGAGTAATTTTGATTAAAATTCATATAAACTGAATGAAATCTATAAGACAGATGACTACTACTAGTATTAAAACTACCTACTAACGCAGGAATCTATACTAATATTATAAATAAAATATACTATACTATTATTTCAAACTATTCTAATATTATAAGTAAAATTTATAATTTTGTATGTATAATGTTCCTGCGTGTTATAGAAACATTCCTATCAAATGGAGCCGGGCATCGGGTGAGACCGCGCAAGATTAGCTAGTATTAAATAATCATATTTCCATTAATCATAATATAGATATAACGTAGACCCAGGAAGAGACAGAACATCATACAATAATGACAGGAGTACACGGAATACAAATTACAATAGTCCTTCGAAAAGGTTAGACCAGCCTTCCTATTGGCTAAGTGCCATAGACTCAGTTGGGACACGCTACCAAAATGTACCTTCGTACACATGGTATGCCCACAACCGTTCACGGGTTAAGACCTAGTGCCTTGTATCCGAAAAGGGTAAACGATGTCATCGTTTTTAAAGGTCAGTAGTGTAGCTTACGATAAAACTATGCAAATTGTTGCCACACGTGATTTATTTAAATTGGTCACATGTTGTGTCAATTGTGATTCTTCCACAAATAAAAACTTATGAAGACTAATGACTCTATGTTCTTCTCTATTATCTGTAAAATATGATTATCTATCTTAGAGACTGCTAGAAGAAATTTCTTTTAGTCCGCGGGAAAATCGTCAAATGACGCCTAAAGGCGAACGGCAGGCTTGTATAGTTCTGTACAGCTAATAAGTTTCCGTGTTTTGGGTTACTTTTTGGTTTAATTGGTAGTTAATATGATGAACAAGCCCTGTTTAAAACCTTGTTTTTTTAAAACTTGGGACGTAAGAGTTATAAGTAGCTAGTTTTATTTTTAAAGGTTATGTACTAGAGTATTAACTGCCTGGACCTGCCATTTACCTTTTTGGCGCGATCTTTAGCTCACCAAATCCAACCCGTTCGCCACCTCCATCATTATCTTCATCAGCAACAGAAAGAATACCTACAACCTGTACTAGTCATAATTTTAAAGAGTTTGTTACCAAAGTTGTGCTCATTTTTCATTCATCAACATTTAAAACTTTATATGTTGAGTTATAGTCGGGAGCTCTGTGATATAGTTATCTATGCATATTATGCACACGTCGAAAAGGAGGAAGTTAACAAAATCCAATACGATACTATGCAATTACCAAATTTGCACGAATGTTAAACTTTTGCTGATAAATTAGATCTGGGCCGATGTGTCTATATTTAAGTACTAGCTTCTGCTAGCCGCTGTTCCTATTAAAAATGTAGCCTATTTATTATTCCGCACTATAATATTATGTATTTCTATGCAAAGTTGCATTGTGTCAAAGTACATTCCCATATTCACACACTATTTTTTTGTTAGATTAAATCATCGCCTATTTTTACAAGAATGAATGTTGCATTACGAATAACTGCAAGTTGCGTAGCTACAATATTGTACGCTACAAACTAATGATGTCATACTACAAGTAAAGGACATCTATTGAACTTTTAACCCTTATACACTACACATTGTTCCACTTACAATACAAAGTTATCACCTTCTGATTCACAGACTCATTCGTTAATCAGACTAGTTTGTAGGCAGACGAGTAGCCGGATTCACTTATGAAAAGCAATATCACCGCCGCCCATGGACCACCTTATTAGGATTAGGGATTTGGAGATTTTGGTATTGGGGAGGGATTGAGAGTGGGGAAGGATTGGTCTTCCGGTAACCTCACTCATACGGCAAAACACAATGCTGCGGTTGTGTCACCTCGGTTTTCTGTGAGGCCGTGGTATCACTCCGGTTAAGCCGACCAATTCGTGCCGAATTATTGCTCTCCCTCACATAGTTCACAGCCTTTATTCAGCTCTGGGCTAATGATAATAAAAGCTTAATAAGTATACCGTATAGCAATCCTAGTAAGTTCTCATTGCATCGAAATTAATTAATTTGTGTGCAGTGTGCCATTAGATTGCATCATTATCCACTTGTTAGTGATGATAGCACTCTATTATCTAATTTGCAAAGTAAACTAGGAGTGTTTGTAGCTTTATAAGTAATTGCTTGATACATGAGTAGACATTATATTATGTACATAGAGTTCATTATGTAAGTGATGTATGTAGATGTACACACTGCACTAGTGTATTCCAGAACTAGTTTCTACCAACGGCTTCGTCCGCCGTATCGGAGTAAGAAGTGTGTATGCTTTATTCCACACTAAAATCTATCTTTATGCCAAATTTCATTTATATCCGTTCTGTAGTTTTTAATTGAAAGGGTAACAAACATCCATCCTTACAAATTTTCCCGGTAAATAGTAGGATGGTATCCATTTGATGCATCTATTGGTCAGCCTTCTTTGACAATCTTTCTTTTTTATCTAATCCGGTTACGAATTACGAAAGGGTTCAAATAAATCATTCATCTTTCCTCGGTTTTATTTGATACATCTGAAACATTTTGCGATTACTTATCCTTCTACCAAGTGAAAAATTTGTTCCAACCAAAGTTATTGATTGTTTAGGCTTATATCTAGATTTTGCGTTGTGGAACAGACGGCCCTTATTTCTTTTTGATAAAAGGATAACGCTACAGTTTTAATTTTTAAAGCGAGAAAATCCCCATATCTCTATACGAGGAAGACATCTTTAATTATATTCTTGGAATCAAAGACCTGTAAAATTGGATTGTACGGACAGACTTTGACGCAGCGTTCGTTGCAATATATCTCGGTCACGTGTTACATGTTATGTGTGGACGTGACCTAGTGCAAGGCACTGCACTTACGATGCTCGCTCCGCCAAGGTCACTGCGAGTGTTAGAAATCTCACAATGGCCTGTCGTCGTTCGCAGAGGTCATTTACCTTCATAACATATTCTGACGAATCTACAAAATAATTTAATAATAAATACCTATGTAGATACTTGTTATATATTTTTTTGTTTTTGTTAGGGAAAAATCATCAACTTCTTTCACCTAGGCTGAAACGAGAGAGATTGTTAGACTCTCCCCTGTTCCTAGTCCTGCTTTAAGGCCGAGGCCACGGTACCTTATTGGGCTAACCCCATCTGAACAATATATCCCTAAGTTTAATTAAAAATAATTAGAAAACAGAAAATTTTCTAATTCTTTAATTGATTCGTTACTTCTATAATTTCTTAGTGCATTTGTTATAGATGTCAATTTATAAGGAACATCTGAATAACAAATATTGATGTGAATAATTTATTAAAATTAATTAGTGATGTCGGTGACAATTACCACTTAGCAGACAATTTCCCTATTCGCTAAGAGATAAGAAACATTAAACGCACACGTAATTATGAATAATCACCTCAATAAACAGTTTTCTTGGAAATACAAAAGGTGAAGTCAGCTAGAGTAAAAAAGTTAATCAGAAAATGATAGAAACCGCAAGTCAAATTAAACTGATTGAACATTATTGACGAGGACTCAGTAGCGTTATTCACTGAATTAATTTAGTGGGCCAAACTCACCACAATGATTATCTAAACACTCCATTCTCACCTTTATTTCAAAGGGTTTTCTAACCTATTTTCTTTTTGTATACAAGTACCGTTTCATACGCATATTGACTGATCATTTAAGAGTAGTTTTAGTCCCGATCTTAGTAAGAGTACAAACTAATTGATTTCCCCATCATGACTTTGATACGCAAAAATACAATAAAACTATAAAAAATCAATTAGGCCTTACACAACGCCAAACGATGTTGATAACCGAAGTTGTAAACAGCTTAGAATGAGTCACACCACTCCGATCTGTTATAAAATACTTAGAACTAATCCCCGGCCTTGGACTATCTATGGACTTATTTACATTGACATGGACATTGATAACAAAAAATAATAATATTTGTAGTTTACCTACTCGTGCGGATCAAGATATTTTGAATATGTTCATTCATATAATATAGTTTTTATGGTTCTTGCACTAGGCAAATTAATATTAATTGGAACATATGAGTATTGTAAGAAACCTTATAATTACGCAAACCCACGTGTCAAAAGTCATGGCAGACATGTAGAGGAATCTGATCACCCAATAAGGCAATACAATCGTCGTGAGCAATTCACACCAAAAGATACTTGTGAATCACCTGCTTGTATTCATATTGGAGCATAGCGAGCCCATACAAATTGAGTCATTAGCCCCACTTTTCATATTTTAACAGCTTCAAAGTGGATTACTTCGCCCATTTCGATATTAGCTGGCCGTGGCCGTGGGCGAGCCTTACTAACTACCTCAATATGGCCACGATGACGTCACAACTGCCACTCATCTCCCACTAGGAATTCAGAGATCTTAACTTATTTTATACGGTCGTTGGCTTCCAGATAAAGTTGTACTGCTGTTTCTAGATTAATTGATTGGTTTTATTATGCAAGAGACGTGTGAAGTGGTGGGCCATGATGTAATCATGTTGATCTTAATTGTTCTCAGTTGTGGAATTGTTTGCTAGGACTTGTAATGGTTGTTTTGTCTGGAAATCTTAATGGAAGATTGCACTGCGCCATCGTTTTTATGTGCGTTTGAGTATGTTTGCTGATATTATCAATTTTAATTCGAAAATAATTAAGATAAATAACGATATATTATATTAAGCACGTGTAATTGTCTGAAGAAACCTACCTAACTAATTGTACTAATGATGTCATACAATATCTTAAGAAAAATCTTAACAACAAGGATGATGTTATACAAGTTTTGCTAAGAACGAAATGCAGGAAAAAGATACTTACGTCAGTGATGGGCTCTCCGCACCCATGGCATCTGGGACTGTGGTGGGTAGCGAAGCATGGCACGCAGTGGACGCCTCCATCATGTTGGTGGAACTTGGCGCCATCTATGGGCTTGCGGCATGTGTTGCAGGTGAAGTGTTCTGGGTGCCACTTCTTGTTTAAAGCTGTTACTATCTGTAAGACAAATTTAGAACTTTAATATTGGCTACACGGTCGGCTTCCTAATCTTTTATCTTTGCAATAACTGTTACTGTATGTGCTATCTCTTGATGTTAGAGTTATCACTAGAATGACCATCCGGCTAATAACGTTTTTATTAAAAACATATACATACATTTACATACTTGCATTTGAATAATAGAAACAAAATTGTATTCTTGTTTTAGCAACGCACAATATTTTCCCGATCTATTTCTTTACCCAGTCTATTATAATAGTATTCTATTTCCGAGCTACCGTAGCCAAAATAGTTAAATTTGAGAAACTAAAAAGCTTTTTAAAACTAAATACTTCATAATAAACGTGAAAACCTATTAACTTCTAAACGTTGTGGTCTCATGTCATAAGATCCTCAGGTTAACCACAGCTTCCTCATAGCTCACTATTTTCTGAGATTCTCATAAAACTGTTATTCGGTGTTCGCTTTAGACGGTTCTGCATGATTTTCTTTATAGCATTGATGATGTAGTACTGAAGATGTATTCTTTTAAAATGAGTTTAGAATTATTTTTGTGTTTTTGAAGGAACTAGAACTTCTTTTCATTATCTTTGATCACTTCTTTGTTATACATGCTCATCATTGTTTTATTTGTAAGTTCTTTTAATTTCAGATAAATACATGTAGGTACTTATATACATTACATACCTAATTCAGTTTTTTCGCCTATTGGATATGGTAAGCAGAGACAAAACAAAATACTTCCACTCCAGTGGTATCTTTCTGTAGATTGTTCTAATCATCTCCATTGCAATGATCTTCATAAGCATGTTTTATATTTCGAACTATTTCTTGTTTATTTTAAAGCTAACAATTTGTACAGATCGGAAGTCGTTAAATACCAACTGGAATAACATTAGCATTAGACGATTAACTAAATAACTCATTGAACACCGAATCCACTGCTGAAATGTGAAAACACGTGCTTTTCCTATCTATTTCTAAACATTCGTAAGTACAACGCGTTTTGTTTACCTTTGTTACGCAACATGTATCTTTTTTTAACTCTCGCGCTTGACCACGTGGAACGTGTATTTTTAACGATGTCCATAACTTTGCGATTATTTTTTGAATTCCACGCTTTCTCGAGAAATTGATATCTAATGTTTTTGTTATGTTATCTTTTTCTTTTGTTTATTTATGGATGATTTGACGTGTTTTTATATAGTCTTTTAATTACAATAAGTTTTGTATTTAGTATTTTATGCAGTCACAGGCTTAATGTTCTCTTTCTCATTAATTAACATGATGTTGGTTATTTTCAAGGTTCTTTCAAAATTTCCTCTTTGGTCATGATTTTAAGTTTAGACATGACGATTTCGCTTTATTGCTCGTCAACTTCATCTATCATCAGGTTTACAAGTGGTATGTCTGCCAACTAATTACCGTATGGAGGAGGCATCCCGCCCGCCTTGACCGCTCTGACCGCAATCTTCCTACAAGCACGTTGTTCTATCTATTGTTCACTATGTTTGCTTTTACTATTAGCTCTGTTAAGCTCAAATTCTCTTTGAATCTTTAATATTAAAAGTGTAACATTGTCTGCAGAATCGTTATTATTGTTCAGAATCTGCGCTCAAGTAGATTTTAAAAAATCAACATCTGCTTCTTCGTTGTCTTTAAAATATTTGGTTTCTCTAATTACCTACTCAGCTTTAATTTTAATCTCTAGTGCTTATTTGGAAACAAAATTACTCAACAGTATACCTTATCGCTCATTCATATCCTCGACCTTACACCGAATTCTTGGTAAGACATTGCCACTAAGTATTTATCGATTTCTAAAAAATGTTTGCAATAATTTCACATGTCACGTAATACTCTTGAACCATATCTGTAGTTATCACTGATATAAGCGATATCCAATCATTATACGTACTATGTCATGAGGCTTAGTAAGTGTGGAGACTTCTGGAAGAAACAGTGCCGAGTGCACAACATCTTTAATGTACTCATAGTTAGCGTTTATACGCAGATTTCTTGATTCTTTTAGTGCATTTTAAATAATGTGTAGGTGGTCACTTTAAGCTCAAATTACTGGTATGATTATGAAGTATTGTGTTCTTTTTATGTTGTTCAAAAAAAAATTACAATGATGTGGTATAACTACTTACCCTTCCATTGATCACTGAGTTGCAGCTGTTGCAGACAGCAGGGCCTTCTACTTTGGTAGACTGTAACAATATAAAATGTTATCATTAGTTTTTGCTAGTAATCGATATAATAATCTGCTCCCAGAAACTTAAACCGTAGAACAGGTAAATCGCGCTAATGCAGTCAATTTTTCCATTAAGGAAAATTATTTAATGTAAATGCCGTAATTCCAGTCATTAATATTCTCATGACTGGAATAGCTAGACCTGTTAGTGCTTTATCTAAAATATACGTGCCCATACAGAACCCATAGTAAAAGGTACATGTTTATGTCATCATAACACAAATAAATAAAGCGCCTAGCAATCACCTTGAACGTTCAAATCGATAAAAAACAGATAACTAGAATACCGTTTGATTAATTTTAAGTTATGACATCACACTATATCCATTGAATAAAAAAATACAGTCGTTGAGTCGTCCCAACTCGAATTGTCCCTATTTGGACATCGACGCCATTACACGTCTCTCGATGCAAAGCGACGTATCCGTTGTGATTTTTATATCTCCGATTTAAATATAGAATGAAATGAGATAATAATGCAACTGGCAACACAAACTTTATTCTAATGAACACGAAGAAAGAATAACAATGATTTTTAAAATAAGAATAGGTATTTACTTTCTTATTGTACGTTGTGGTGCGGTCAGTTTTATTTTAGGAGTTTATTTTTATGTTAGTCGTTATTTATACCGATGTCAAATTGTTATTGCGAATTCTGGGATTTACAAAATTAAATTATTTCAAGTGGCCTAATTAAAAACTTTCTTTTTGCATACCTTTTGAATTTCGTTAATAATATCGATCGTAATCATTTTGTTTTTTCGTTATCTTACAGATACTAACAACAAATTTATTTAATCGACGCCCATAACACTACACGAAAATCCTTTTTGCTCAACGTTTAGTAGCCAGATATCTCGAGCAGGTTAATTTATTTTTATTGGACGGCTCCATTTAAGGGTAATTTCGATAATTTTTCGCGGTGTCATCAAATTGCCTTTACGACGAGATGGCATATGGCTAGTAAACAAGTTACGGGAAGAAGTGGGCGAGTCTAGTTGTGGCACGTCACACATTCATTATTAGTCATATTTGTCACAGTTAAAGCCAGTTATGTAATGATCGCGAACAATACCGTGTTTGGAATTCTTAAAGCTCCGAGTAATTCATGGTCATTGTCAATGGACGGTGACTTGATTGAATTTGTTTTGATGGTATTTTTCTATTGGCGCCATGCCGATTGTGATTATAAGAAAATAATAACTCCTTAGTGATTTTGGCTACGCACGCAATATTGTTCAATGTGCATTCATAATGCTCTTCATAAATAGAATAATATTTTAAAACAATTCACATTAAATCAAACCTAAATATAATTATCACAGAGACAGCTGTCCTAAGCACCTGCAAAATTTAATATTTGCTCTCCATCCAGATCACCTACTAATACCAATAGTCAGTTTGAGAACAATGTTAGAGTGGGTCCTCAGTCAAAACAAATGTCTGCCAAGCATGCCAGACTGCTAGTACATAAAATCCAGTTACAATGTCACGCCAGTATGTCACTGGCCAGTTTGGAAGAAGGAACAATACGAACTTTGGCCGCAAGTTTTAAACGTATAGCGGTTGAATTTTGCACTATTTTGTGTTTATGATTCCTTGGTATAGTAAAAGTTATTTTTTTGCTTCTGTTGTAAGAAATTCTTATTCTACTGTTGCCTTGTTATCATCTTCTTTTAAAACGACTGCAGTTTTCTATAGTCCTACCTACGAAATCTTTTGTAATGGAGAAGTTTGGTGCAAACAAATAAATATTCCTTTGCAGTAACCTTATAATTATACCTACAGAATTTCCCAAAGTCATTCTGAAATCACTCAATTCGATCCAATATTCGATTCTTTTTCTTGTTTACTAGCTTTCGCTCGTGGCTTCGCTCGTGGCGTCACCCACGTGGTATGTGTATGTGCAAAAAGCCAGCAATGTATTAATCAAGGACATCACCTATTCCAGCCAAATCGGTGTAGCAATGTTTTTGCGTGAAAGAATAATGAACGTGAATAATTAGTACAAATTTTCACATTTATAATATTATAGTAGGACTATTTCGGTTTTATTCTCGCTAATATCTCTTCGCTTATACCGCACGTCATGCGTGTAGGGCGCTCACAAGGCCAAGGCGTTTCACAGTATCGAGGTATTTAGGACGTCTATATACGTCCCACAATTTCTTTTGTCCCCCGGTAGCCGCCTATTTCCATCTGGAGGGCCAGCATTAAGGAGTGAGGACACGTTTCTATTCCCAGTTTAGGAATGAAAGGAAACCGACACGTATTTGGGGCTCCTTATTTTTGTACTGGGTAGTGTAAGTAATCACAAATAGGGCCAGTTTTATTAGATTGTTTGATTTGCGTCGTTGTTTTGTATTGTTGGTATAAAGTTTTACAGTAACTGTAAAACAAGCAAGCTCTAGGAACAAAAAAAAAAAAAAACTGTTTGTTTGTTGTTTTTTTTTGTTCCTAGAGATTGCTATTCCGATTGGTTATTCAGATAAGTACGTTGGTCTAATCGTCTAATGAATATTCGTTTTTTAAATTGACTTTTGAACTTTTATTCCGTTTTTAACTGAGCTTGTTATTACAGTATACATTATGTACCTATAGTGATTGGCGTACTCTTAACCTGACGGAATCACTGTTTAAGGTGACATAATTCTAATAATAACAAATAATCATTGGTTTGTTAAGCAATGTCATCTTCGACGACTTATTTACTATCCTCCATTCCTGAAACCTTAAAGATTAATAGTGGCTCTTCAAATATAAATTGACAGTCATCAAAGAAAAGAACAAAAGAAATTATAGTACTTATATAAATAATAATGCCAATAAAACTCATAAAACCGTATTGATATCTATGACCGTATTAATTAATCAAACACTTCAGATAAAAAACTTAATCTAGACTATTTGTTTCATATACGAGCAATACGTACTCAACCAATGTTAGCTTTAATTTCCAATGATGTATAAATAAATTCAACACTTAACGGCAGGTGATTGGCAAAGGAAAATGTGAAGGAAAATACTCGTCATAATCATAAAGTATACGACAGTTTATAGCTATATTTAGCATGATAGTCGGTTACTTGTGTTATGATAATGTCATTCACCTAATGTCACCACAAATACAGAATGTAAGTTTTTCGCATGACTTGGTAGTAAGCAAATGCAGGCGCTCGCAGTAATCGCGGCACCAGGTAAGTACGTTGTCCGTTCTGAAGGGTTATGGATTGTGAGTATTGTAGGAGGTTTAGGAATAATTGTCAAAGTGAGAAATACTTATGACTATTTCTTTTATTCTATTCTTTCTGATGATTTATTTTGAAACACTTATTTATTATTATTTGATTTTCAATATTGTAGTGTACAAGTAATTTTTTTTTTTAGTGAAGTCGAAAAGTTTGTAACTGAATGGAGTCTGGAATAGTGGCCAATATACGTATAGCGATATCACCCCCTTACAGTGGATGAATCCTTTGCCTTTAAAAATAACTATCCTCAGCCGTATTTCTACTTCTCAATTAAAGGAAAAAATGTGTGAATGAAAATCACACATTTTTTCCTTTTTTGTTTGTTTTCACACGCCAACCTCCGCAACTACTAGACGGATTTAAATGAAACTTCTTGTTTTGAAATAGGACTTTGGATGAAGGCCTACGGTCTTCTACGCGGACGTACGTACGGGCAGAAGCTATTTCTCAATAAAATTATAACTATGAAATTCTTAAGCGTAGTTTAACTGTATTGTATTCTACTACTTAATTATGGAAATATGGTTAAGTAATAATATTACTTAACCATATTTCCATATTATGAATATATTCATATTATGAATATATTAACATTAGATAAACAAACATATTACGATCTTATTATAACGACAGCCGTACTTTTAGCTGTATTTGTTCATATTATGACGATCAGCAAATAAACTCATTTACACACGTGGTGACAAGGTGTAGTTAATATGTGTAATTAAAGTATTGAAATTTTAATTAAAGTAAATAATCCATGAATCACTGAAGGAATTTACTGATTGATGGCAGCGGGCAGATGAAGCTACCCTCGATTTCTCAATTGCTTTGCGACTTTATTACAATAACTTAGAGTTAAGAATGTATTAGAGCTATTTTTCAGTGAATGGCAAGCTGATGTACTTATATTTACATAAATAACTACAGAAAGACTGCTCTATTTAGGTTTCCATAATATACTGTTGACATTGTTGTTAAGAAGAATTTGTATAAAATAGAGCAGGCACCGTCTGACAATGTACACTAAACGATGTTTTATTATGAGAATGACGACCGTCAGCATTACCGCTATCCAGCACAACAAAAATGTTTATTAACTTTTTGGTTGTCAAAAATTATGAAATTTGACAATCACACGCATTCTACGAGTCAAAAGAGGTTTAAAAAATTAGTTTAGTGTAATTAAAATTGTACAATTTGTTACGAAATAAATTATAGTGTTTTCAAACGATGAAGGGTTGAACTTATAAAACGAAACCCCAACAAGAAACTTTGTCAAAAAAACTTGTTAACAGACATCTAATTGAAATAAAAATCAGCAATGAAAAATAAATAATTCACATTTCAATGAACACACACAAAACAATAGCGATCAAAGATTATACAACAGCGGTGCATTCACTTCCCAAATCATGTGTGTGAGTATAACAGAGAATCAGAATATAAATCTCATAGTAGTTTTATTTAGACGCGTGTATATATGTATCTATGTATATTTTTATATCTCATAATGACCGTCACACCTTCCCACGCCTGGCTAGCACCCTAAATCTTACAAAATTTATTCACTGAACCGAAGAAAGGTGAAGTTTTACGTACCTATTACATACAATTTATGAAACATTACTAACTAACTAAGTTAATTTATAAACTAACTAACATACTTTTTTAATAACAGACAGGTGAATTTTAGCATCAATGA